CTTTTTTGGAATAGAGCAGTAATCACATTAAGTAAAAATTGATCACATAAAAAATCTACAAAAAAAACCGATGTCAATAATATAATTTTCTATGAAAAAATAAAAAACAATAACAAGGAAATATATGACATTGTATAAAAAAAAAAAAAAAAACTGATCCACAAAATAGCAGCAAAACACAATGACAAAGATACAGAAAAGCAATGTTAATTTTTTTTCAAACCATGCTGGGAATTTATCCATAGCAGCTCAATAAAAACGGAGCATCCACTCCTTTTCTTTTGTCTTTTTCTTTTTTTTATCTTTTGAATTTTTATCTTTTTTCCTTTTTTTGTTCCTTTTTTTTGTTGTTGTTTTTTTTTTCTTTTTTACAATCAACACCTTAGCGGCAGTTTTCTCACATACATTTCACCATCACATTCTCCTCGAGCATCAACTTCAACAGCTATGTCCACATCCCTTCAGCTACTTTCTAAAATAATAATAAAAAGATACATAGCCAAGATGTGCAAATTTTCTATTTGTAGCTAAATTAAAAAAAAAAAACAAACGGGGCATATACTGGAATAAAAACTTCTTTCAAGTACTCCAATTTTCATACCTATTAACTATGGTGTTTTTTCATGGTTAGACTGCTTTTGAAAATGTATAGGAAGGGGCCAAATAGACTGCCTGGTTTTGGGTTTGTTCTTTGAAGCATGTCCTTTTTTTGCTTTAATAAGCTGGGTTAAAACTGCAACATCAAGGGTAGAAAGATTTTCTTTTTCAAAAGGGGCGATTGCATTAATTTACAAATCATACTGGCCTTACAAACATCCTCTGCAATAAATATTCTTTTTAGCCTTAACTATAAATTATATATTTTAGTGTTTAAAAACCTTCAATTGTAAAAACATCTAGCGATAATCCTTAAAACTATGTGTCCTATATGTGAACCTTTAAGGCCCCTAATTTATAAAGATGAGTTGGCACCAAAGGATTCTAAACTTCAAACTTTTCTATAGAAAAGGAAAGAAAGATATTCTGGCAATTTGTGAATGCAATTTTCTCTCACTGGAACACAACCTTCAGAAAAAAAGAATCACCTCTCCTCTAACACCATAGTTAAATGCACTTGCTTTGCAATTCCAAGTTTGCCAACAAGCACTTTATATATTTCCAAACCATTCCATTAAAAAAAAAAAAACAAACAAAAAAAAATTCCCACACAATAAGAGAATGTATTTCCTATATCTAATGGACTGAAAGTGCTTTGAATGGAATGGTTTTAGAATATTACAAACAAAACAAAACAAAAACAGAAAAAAAAAAAGAAAAAAAAAGACTGAACTGTGGATTGAACCTGACCATAATTAGGCTGAGTATCTGTGGAGTCAGAACAGCATTTTTACACAGGTAACTACAAAAATAAGAAGATTACAAAAATATAATATATTATGTCACTGTTTCGGTTTCTCTTTATAATAGGGTCCTGTATGAGTAGTACATTGGCCTTTCCCAACCATGCTAAGCTGGAACCCTACAAATGCCTCAATGCACAGGCAATCCACAGGCACAAAAAAAAAAAAAAAAGATTAACACATAATAATGCTGCATACTAACATACACTAACTTATGGGTTACGTTAACCATTTATAAGGTGAAGAGGATAAAAAAAAAACCTAAGGAAATAAAATAAACATTTACAGATGAATTATAAAGTGACTAAATGCATAAGCAAGCAAGATACAGAAAAGCCTAGAACTGCGTTAAAGCTATGCTTTTTAAAGAAAAAGAATATTTCATTTACTATCTAAAAAAAAAACCCTCTTCTACTTTAAAAATGGTTGGTTGGTTTGTTTTATATGTAAGAAATCAAACCTAATACCTCCCCTGGAGACATTTCGTGTGTTAATGCCTATTTTTACAACATACAGACAAGAACACTTTAATATAAAAAACTAGTTGATTATTATTGTATAAAATCCTCTATTTTTGTAGCACAAACCCCTGGGGGTAATGCAAATACTATTTTTTTTTCTTTTTTTAAGACAGTTTTTGGGGTATTTTTTGTTTATTTGTTTGTTTGAAGTCACAGATGGAAGGGAGACAGAGCAAGAAAAAAATATAACAAGATTGTTTTTTCCCTTCTGGTATAAAAATGTCCTGGAGAAAAGGGTTTCTGGGGGGAGATCCTGATGCCGATTCCTTCTCAGATGCCCTTTCTTTGTCTGCTTTTCTTGCCAAGCAAATCCATTTAGGAAGAAGTCCTCTTTAAATGTTCACGTCTCGCACATCGGTAGGTGTGCAAGAGAGGTCTGCTTCGTCCTCTACAGTCTTTGTTTCTGAAGATACGTTGTGCTGCTGTGCCTGGCGTAGACTGGACTCCAGGAGGGACTCAATCTGTTCTTGGCAGGCTCGTAAACAATCCTGCAGGAGGTGCAATGGAAGGGGAGAGAGTGAGAGAGACCCAAGATTCCTTCAGAAAGATCACAGGCTAAAATACCAGTTTCTTGACAAAGCAAGAGAAATGTTACTGGGTTATCTGGGAGAGCAGCAGGCTGGAAAGGAGGGTGGGAAGAGCAGAAGCACCCGACAGTGAAAGGACTGGCTGAGCAAGCCTGGTTTTTTGCAGACTCTACCTGGCACTGCTGCTTCTCTGCCTGTGCAGTTTACAGTTCTCTGCAAGCCCACTGCTCACAACTTTCTACTTTTACCCCAGGAACCCTTTAGCAGTAGAGTCTGCTAGAAGCAATGCTCACCAACACTGACTTTCTTCCCAAGGCTAAATTCCAACGACAGAAATGCCATATTGAGCTGCCCATGGCCAAAGCTGCCTGCCAACTGCTGCAGTGTCCAGCTGTGGGCAGCTGATAAATTCCTAACCCTGAAACCATCTCCAGAAGTGGACTGGACTGTTGGACCCCAAAAGGGAGAGGTCTCTCAGAAACACCACAAAGTGCCTCCCTAACCATGCACTACCGAGCCCATCCGAGCTTCCTGTGTGCTACCACATCCACCTGGAAACCTCAGTCAGGGTGAGACCTTTTCCTCTCACTTCCAAAGCGTCTTCTCCAAGCTGGGTGTGCACACATTTATCCTGAGGGCTCAGGAGGATGCACAGGCCTCGCTGGAAATTAAAAAACCATGAAGAACTAAGGAAGGTCCTGTCTGTGGTGGGGAAAGGCAACCTCCCCCAGGCATTATGACATACCATGAGGAGAGATATCAGATTCCCAGCAAGCAGAATTGGAGAAGCTCAGCCTGCACAACCTCCTGCAGGCGGTGGAGGCCTGTACACCCACTGCAGTGGCACAGAAATGGTGCCCTAAACAGGCCAAACAATCCCACAGCATTTTGCCAAAACTCATCCAGTGTGCTGTTTACCCTTATCTTTATAACAAACACGGCAAGCTTTTCCCCCCAACATCTTTAACTCTGTGTATGAAGGACTTTGAAGTTTCCTTTCAGCATTGCCTTTTCTGATTTAACCTATGACATGTGTTAGCCCTTGCGGTGAACCCAGTCTTCCATGATAAATTGCCGTCAAAAGTGTTAGGATGTGCATGACTGAGAATGAATGTTGTTTTCCTGAGAGGGTGACCTGCCTGCTGTTTTCTTTATTTCCCAGTTTCAATTCTGCCTTCATTCAGAGGCTTCTTGTGTGATCTACCAGCTTTTCACTGATTACACTACCACAAGAATCTCCTCTGCCACCAATAAGGGCACATGACATTTGGGGTAAAGTAAGATTAGAAACCCAAGCAAACAATTCTCTTCAAGTCCTTTCTGAGAGAGAGGGAGGTTAATCCTACCTCTAAGCAGATCAGACCATCAGCACAGCTCACTGAAAACACATAACCTATGACCTTTCCTGGTTTAAACCCTAGTGTAATATTTCCTCTTGACAGAGACACACAGCATTTTAAATGACAAAAAGAAACGCCTCATATCCTAAAGTCATCATGCCTTTGGCTCCTGCATACCTGTGGCCTTCACAATAAGGTCTCTATGAAGTCCCTGCACCCAGCCCTCCTCCAGATATGACAGATCAATCCTGACTGTAAGGCTCCCCCTTGGACCTCAGACACATTAAATCCACACCAGCACAACTTTAGGTGTTCCTGGCTTTACAAAGCCACTTCTGGGGATAATTCTTTTCTAGCAAGTTCTGTGGTCCAAACTGAAAGCATTTTAATTTTTCAGAGCAAAATGAATCCTCCTGGGTTTTGTTCTGGGGGTTTTTAGTTTAGGTTTGGTTTTTTGGGGTTTTTTTAGGTGGGAGTAGGTTTTATGGTGAGTTTTGATGGGAACTTCGTGGACTTTTTTTTTTTTTTAGTCCTGACCATTTGCATACAGCATGTTTGAGCTCTGAAAAGTAAAACTATTAAAAAGAATTTCTATAAATATCTATTCTGCTCCCTCTGGAGTCCAGTTATGAATAATTACATAAGACTATGTAATTTAAAGGCACTTTTTTCCCACAAATTTTTTTTCATTTAAAATTCTCAGAGTGCAGCATGCTGTAAATGTTTATTTTTTTTAAACAATCTTTACAATATATTATGAACAGACTGTCTTAAGCTACAGTTGAATGAAAAGGTTTTTTTATTTTTTAAGGTATTTTGCCCATATCTTATTCATATGGCTATTAGATAAATAGTTTGCCTGTAGGAATACACTAGAGCTAGCAAAAAACAATGCAAAACATAAAATTCACTGTGAACAAACCTCACCAAAGCTGTTTTCATTCTCAGTATTTACCAACACTGAAAAGCAAATACAAAACTTGTGCATTACTCTGATAGCTTCTCCCAACAACTTTTCTGCTTCACTACCCAAATTTTCAATGCCCACAGTTTGTTCAAGGTCATAAACCCTTCCTGGATTAATTAAGCTCCTCAGTGAAAAAGAAAAAAAGAAAAAAAAAGAAATAAAAAAGACTTGCTAGTTTAACTGAAGTGGTCAAATATCTTTAAGACACAGTGGACATGATCAGACTCCAGGGTCACATAGGAAAGGAAACAAACAACAACAAAAAAGGAACTGCTTGGAAGTCCTTTGTTCTTGCCTGACCTGTTCTGGATAGCAAGCACATGTTTGAAGGTGCCTCTGAGAAGGGGCAGGCAGGAGGCGAATTCCAATGCACTAACAGACAGCATGGAGACCCAATCTAATCTAGTTCAGCAAATTTCTGGCTTGGAAATGAATGTCAGGTAAAATTCCATCTGTTTGGATGATGGGGTCAAAAGTAGAAGGATGGAAGACAGCCCAAGACTTCTAATTGTGATTATCTGACTTCTAATTACCCCTGATCAAAGGCAAAATGGGAAATTGGACTCCTACCAATATATAAACATGAACCATAAAGGAATTCCAATCAGGTGATATTAATTTTATTTTAGATTCAGCTTTTTTTGAGACTAAAGGTAAAAAAGTGTAATTATGTAACCTGAAATCCAACAGATCTGTGCTCCAGCTAACGCATCATCAGGGGGAATACCAGCCCTGCTCTTAACATTCCGAGACTATCCAATACAAAACCTATTCCCTGACATCACTGGAGCATAGCATAGATCATACAAATCCTAGTGGAATGGGAAAGCTGGAATGGCATTTGATACCATGGATTACACAGACAGGTGTTTTGGGAAAGTCTCCCTGCAGGGGAATCATGTTCTGTATGAAACCAAGCAGAGTCATCTCCCAGAACAACTGCAGTGGAAGTTGCTACTCCCTTATTCCACTCCAAACTCAACAGTATAGCTGTGCACACACAGAACTCTGTGATGCTAATTTTCTGTAGCAATCCATACCAAATCCTTATTTCTACCTAACACATGAATATATTTAGCACTGGAAGCTGGAGGAGAATTACTCCCTTTTCAAGCTGTTAACCAAGCCCAGGTCAAACAGATTGTGGCCTTGCAATGACTCAGGACAATCAGAACGAAATAATAAAAAAATCCTCTTTTCTTGCTAAAGCAACTTTGTTTTCTTTTTCAAGAGCTCTGTCATCAACTAAATCAAGTCACATAAGAACAGGCCGTTGTTTTGCACGATGTGAGAGAATCCACTTCAGTGCCCAGTATCAGGAATTGTTAAATCATCTTGCTTGAATCAAGATGCTGCCTGGACAGATAGCAAGCATTTCCCTCAGTACCTGCTTCAAACATCTCACCCTGGACAGTGGCCAACCACACACACTGGAATTATCTGCATTGCTCACAAACTGACTAAAAGCATCACACTTGCATACCAAACTGAGCAGCCCATTAGTTCAGCTTTTCTTAGAGAATTCAGCATTTCAGGTCCTTAGAGCATTTAACATTTCCTGCAGTGATAAAAGTGGCAAAAAGAACGTGCTCAATACTGAGGCATTGTTCAGGTGATAACATAAAATAATAACCTGAGATACTGCATTTTTCATCAATTTTTTCACACAGTCTATCAAAAGTAAAATACTCTTTTGAGAATAATTAATTGCAATGAAATCACTCAATCCCATCAACAAAGCCCAATTACACAACCTAGTTTTGCAGTGGCTGGACTGTAAGAATTTTCTATTCATTTAAATTATTAACATGTAAAATAATTTAATAGCATCTCCAAGATTCTGCCCCTAACCACAGAGTTGTCTTTATTTGACTCATTGTCTATCGCTTGGAGACCTCACAAGAACCTTTTTAAAGCATCTATTTATTGGTCTTCCACATTGTTAGAAAACAAAGCTCAACTCTGCCCCAACTTCACACACCATTATGACATGGATCATTGACTTTAGGTCTTCCTTGTAGGCTCCCTTCCTGGCCCATTCACTCATTAAAGGTTTATTGCTCACTAGTTACTGATGTGCATCTCCTGGAAGCTGCAGGGCAAAATGAAGGGTCCTGTGAGGACCATCTACCTTGTCAGAAAGTCGTGGGACAAGTATTTGTTCCAAAAAGGAATTCAATACCAGCTACTGTGAAGGTCTAGCATGTAATAAACCAAATTAGATCATTAGAACTCTTTTAAGAAGAGCTTTTTCACACCACTTGGCACAATAAAAAGCTTCAAGAATGGTCAAAGGTAAGGTCAGAGATACCACAAGTTCTCAGCAACTGTTTCCTGGTCTTATTCCCCAAGTTTTGTTTTACTCCTGGTTTAATTCCCCCCAGCCAAACACGGCCTCTGTGACATCCTAAGTCAGGGCAGGGCTTTCCTCCTGTCTCAAGCACCAGAGCTGGATGTGCCATTCCCAACCAGGCATCACAGATTATCAGTGGGCATCACAACAGCCAAAACAAGCCGGCTGGGCACGAGAGAACACATTGAGAACCCCCACTCTGAGGCTTGACCTTTCCCAAGATTTACTGTCAGATTAGCTCCCGTGCAGTAAGCAGGCATTCATTCTTAAAAATCCTTAATGCAGGAGATCAACCAAGAGAAAGAGTCACTTACCGGATCACATTTGATAACTTGTGATAGGAAATGTGTGAGGCATTGATAGGAGAGGAAAGTGTTAGTGTTCCCCAGATGCAGGCCTTGCACAGCTGCTACCACGCTGCCAGCTGCGATCATGGAGGGTGGGTTTGAAATAAATTTAATATCTGTATGAAGAAAGGAGAGAAAAAAAAAAAGAA